TAAACGTAACAGTGTGACGACCTTCGGCTGCAAAATCGAAGTTATTAATTTCCTACTACACTCAACTTATAATCATGGCTTTAGAGAGCAAAAATTAATTCGGAGTCCTCCTAATATTTTTTTATACATTGTATTTTTGAACGTAGATATACATAGCAATGACATATGATTTTTAGATAAAATTTTGTGAACGGAATTTTGAGGTATCACAATTTTAAGTGAACACATATTGTCTCCCTGCTTTTACGTACATTCCAGTTAACTGTATCTTTAGAAGTATATTCATGCTATATATAAGGATACCATTATTTACTCTAAGCATACCTATTCCAACAAAAAATGGTACACATACATGTTGATATGTACAAATGTTATTATTTTAAGCTATTTTTAAATTGATTGTAATTAAAGAATTTTGGTGCGACACAAAACAGAATAAATTCAGTCAAATGTTGTCTATGATATCTTAAACACTGCCTGCGAGATATCTTCATTTTATTGATTGTCTATAAACAGACATTCACTGTAGTTTAGGTCTCATAATCTCACAATAAAGATTGGAGAATGAGTTTATTTCCTTTATAAATCAAATTATTCATATAGAATTTGAATTTTTATTGTAAGTTGCCTCCTGCTGCACCTGTGATTCAAAAAGATTATACATGTCTAAGATATCTGCTACATGTGGCGCTTCCGGTATTCCTTAGTTTATGAGTTAATTTGACCAAATATCTGATCATGCATCGATTTCAGTATTTCTTAGTTTATGAGGTTATTTCACCCTGGATATGCTACATTTCTCCCTCTCGGTATTCCTTAGTTAATGAGTAGTTTTGATCAAATATCTGCTACATTTGTCCTTTCCGGTATTCCATCGTTTATGAGTTTGTTTGCCCAACGCTTTATTTTTACTTATAATAATGTTTGGGTTTATGGAGGCACTCCCGTTTAGTTAAATGTTAATAAGGCGATAATAAAAATTTGAAACGGATTTTCCAATTTTTCAACTTTTGACAAGATGTCAATCATAAATAACATTTAGTACTTTACAAAGAAAATAACTTTCTATTGAGTCTTCAACAAACTAAAAAAAAAATTCAATTTCAAATATTGCCGCGAACACGTGACCATTTTACAACCAGCACATGCTCACAACATCAACACACGAAATTTCTATGATGTGTAGCATGCATTACTGTTTCTTTAATCCTTCTTAACAAATTGAGAGACGTAGTTCATCTACAGGGATCACAATTCTGTCTTCTCTAGGGTGGTGAGTTCGAACCCCGCTCTTCTGTAGGGTGGTGAGTTCGAATCCCGCTCTTCTTTAGGATGGTGAGTTCGAATTCCGCTTTTCTCTAGGGTGGTGAGTTCGAATCCCGCTCTTCTCTAGGGTGGTGAGTTCGAACCCCGCTCTTCTCTAGGGTGGTGAGTTCGAACCCCGCTCTTCTCTAGGATGGTAGGTTCTGACCCCGCTCTTCTCTGGGGTTGTGAGTTTGAACCTCGCTCTTCTCTAGGGTGGTGAGTTCGAACCCCGCTCTTCTCTAGGATAGTAGGTTCAGACCCCGCTCTTCTCTAGGGTGGTGAGTTCGAATCCCGCTCTTCTCTAGGATAGTGAGTTCGAATCCCGCTCTTCCTTAGGGTGGTGAGTTCGAACCCCACTCTTCTCTATGCGAGGTGTGCTGTAAGTTTTAATGCCAAATGTCGGTTATTCTCTCCAATTCCTGCTATGATTTAGAATAAAGCGATGAAAGTGAAGTTAGAAACAAACAAACACGACCATTTTTATGACAGGTCAATGAATTATTTTACAACTCAAGCTGCTAATGAACAAGGATGTTTCAAATAAAGGCAACAGAAGTTTACCGCTGTTCAAAAGTCACAAATCGATAGAGAGTAAACAAATCCGGGCCACAAACTAAAACCGAGGGAAACACATCAACTATAAGAGGAAAACAACGGAACTACAGAGACCCTGAAGTGCAACAAAAACAAACGCCAACATCCACAGAAACGAACTATTTGATAACAACTGCCATATTCCTGACTTGATACAGGACATTTCAACATATATGAAAAAGCAAAGTTCAAAAAACGTTACGCTATTCCGAATTTGTTATGCCTAAAATGAAAAAAAAATGGCATTGAACTAATAATTCAGATTTTATTTTTTTTTTTGCAACATTCACATGATATTTACGACATTACAATGAATACTTTTACTACTTAAGCTGCTTAGGAACAAGGAAGTTTTTGTATTACGCATACATCAGTTAGAAAATCGTCGTGATTCACCGGTTTTTAACAAACAAGATACAATTTAATTCTTGAATTACATTTTACACAATCTCATGTTAGGTATACAATTTAATGTATTACAAGTTTTACAAAAACAAAGATCATATTGAAATTGTCTATTTATGAATAGTACAACTCGGCTAATTGTGTTGATTATTAGTTTGAAAAAGCCAAGTACGAAAACGTCACTTTTTCCAAGGTTCTCAGCCTCGCACGAAAAAAGTCTTTGACATCAACCTAATAATGTAGATGCAACATTCAAACGTGATTTTACGACATAACAATAAATTATTTTACAACTTAAGATGATAATGAACAAGGATGTTTAAACTTATATGAATAAGTAAAGAGCAAAAAAGCGTAGCGATTCCCACGTTTGTATGCCTCGTACGAAAAAAAGCCAATTCTGTCATTAACCTAATATTGTAGTATTTTTTGGAATATAATTTATCGACCAGTCGATGAATGATTTTACGACTTAAGCTGCTAAGAAACAAGGAAGTCTTGTTATTCGTACAAGTTAGTTAGTAAATCGTTGTTATTTACCGGTTTTTAACAAACAAGGTACAATTTAATTCTTGAATTACCTTTTATACAATCTGATTTTTAGTTAAACAATTTCTTTTTATTAACGTTTTACAAAAAAATTATATTGAAATTGTCTATTTATGCGTTGTATAACTCGGCTAATTGTTTTGAGAATTATTTCTATTAATATAAAGAAATCAGAGAAACCATGCTTATACTTTGGTAAACCAAACGCGCGTTTCGTCTGCATACTGTGGATTCATTATTATTCGTTGGATGCCAATTTTCGTGGATATTGTGGGAACAAGTGAACCACGAATTCAAATGTTCAACGAATTACAAAATTTTTCTTAGGCTTTGTATGCAGGGTTAGTAAAACAACGAAATCCAATATCCACGAATATGCAAGTTTTCTTCATTCCACAAAAATTGATACCCACGAAAATTAATGAATCCACAGAAATTCTCATGTGTGTGTGGCGCTCGAATCAAAAGAGTAGTTAAGGTGGTACCTAACACTACAGGGAGATAACTCTGTAAAAATCAACTAAACGTTTTAATCACGTTGTATTGTTAAGGAAATATTAAGCTTCTCAATGATCAAAATTAGTGTTTGTCAAACTGCTATATAACCAGTGAAATTTTTCTGATAAAGTGGTTGGTTGAAATTTTTTGAAATTTTTATATTTTTGTCAAAGGGTCAGGGTAAACATTTTGTCAAAATTTTATGAAAATTAAACGAGCAAAATTAATGTTAGTCAAGGTGTTGGGTACCACCTTAAGTCAAATAAAAAGTCTTATACATCCGGGGCTTTCAAATATTCGGCTTTGAGCTTTCCTGGTAAAGGTAAATCCAGAAAAGCGCTTCGGACGCATGAAATTTATACACTTCTTCAAAATAAAATTGTTGGTCTCAATAAACATACAGCATGACATTTATTTTGCTGTAAAAAATCATTTATCTCTTATGCTTGAATATGTTTTTTATTAATAAAATTTGAGAATGGAAAAAAGGCATGTGTCAAAGAGACCATAACCCGACCAAAGAGCAGAAAAAAACCGAAGGTCATCAATGGGTCTTCAACACAACAAGAAAATCCCGCACCCGGTGGCGGGCTTCATCTGGCACCTAAACAAAAATGTGTACTAGTTCAGTGAAAATGGACGTCACACTAAACTCCGAAACATATAAATGAACTAAAATTAAAAAAACATACAAGACTAACAAAGGCTAGAGGTTCCTGACTTGGGACAGGCGCGACAATGCGGCGGGGTTAAACATGTTTTGTGAGATCTCAACCCTCCCCTTTACCTCTAGCCAATGTAGAATAAACTAATGCGCACAATAAAACTTCAATATAAGACTTCAATCCATGTCCTTTCAGAGATCGTTAGCTAATCACTGATTTTTAGAAGAGCCTTTGTTCCTCACTGTTTAGTTTTCCGTGTGATATTCGTGAATGGTTGTTTGTCTTTTGAACTTTTCCCCTCAAGGTCATGGTGTTTAATTTTCTTCGACTTTCGATTTTTGATTCCATCCTTTTTTTAGTTTTCATATATTTTTTAACATAAAATATGTAGATGTGGTATTACTGCAAATGATACAACTATCCATCAAAACAATGAAGTGGATGTTAGCAATTATAGGCAACCATAAGGATAACCTTCAATAATGAGAAAACCCCATACCGTATAGTCGACTATAAAAGACCCCGACATGAAAAATATGAAACAATTCAATTGAAGAAAACTTACGGCCTTATTTATAACAAAACATTTTACAAAAACCTATTATGACAAACATTTACCAACGACAACCACTAAATTCCAGGCTCCGTATTTGAGACAGGCGTATAAAGAAGGTGGCGAAAACTCCTTACCTGGGACTGTGCTGTAAGGACACAACACAAGGACAAATTATACAAAATAATAAACGAAAAACAAATATAAGAAACAGCAATAAAAGATAATCAATAAATTACAGGCTCCTGACTTGGGACAGGCATATAAAGAATGTGGCGTGGTATAACATGTGAGAAGGCACCTAGTATTTAATTATTTTTTTTTAATAACAATATCTACTATCAATGATAAATCCTATTTTCACAGTTCTTAAGTAAACATAATGTTTACATAGAAATGTTATCATACCGAGTCTAATCAATCAAAAACGCAGTTTCGTGTTCAACATCTTTCCTATTTCAAAGATTGCTAGAATAATCGGATGTTTGTTTATTTTTACAAGATCTGATTCAAAGTTATTGCATAATTTGGCAAACATTCCTTTATCATCGGAACATCTTTAGTTAGATTAAATAACCTGATTCTAGTGTAGATCTGGATGGTAACTTTTAACATGCAGTCGCTAGTGAAAATGGAGAAATCGTTACTTTTCCAATTGCATTTCATAGGAATAATAATCTTAATTTTTCTGTCCGGGACTTCAGCAATAAATGAAAAGGACAAAGTGGTTGATGCTCCCCTACTCGATACCGAAAAAGGAACTCTGGTTGCAACGATTGATATGTCCAGTGCCAATGACCGTATCAAAGCATACATATCGGAAGCTATTGAAATGAAAATGTCAGAATTGTTTAAAATGAAATTACAAGAGGTTTTTGGTGCTTTGAAAATAGACCAGGATCTGAAACTGTACATTGAAAATGTGAAAGCAAATCTATCATTAGAAAACGAGATTAAAAAGTATGTTGACGGTTTGAAACAGAAAGTGCCCGACAATATATCTGAAGGTAATTATCTTATCAAGTAGAGCATGAAACAAAAAGTGCCTGTCGGTATGTCTGAAAGTAAAACCTTGTATAATAGAACAAGAACTACCATAATTAAATGTCTTATAGACAGATGATTGTAGTTTATCACATTTCTTTTCCGAACAAAGCATATCTAAAGCTTGGTTTATACTCCGGGTGCGATATCGATAAGACTAGCTACAAGATTTTGATGCGATACGATACATTTTTTTTTCATGCAACACTTGTGCAGCTTTTACTGAGATCCATGCGATAAAAGCATGGTCAAAGCCACCGACTCTAGCGAAATCACTGGAGTTGAAATTATTTTTGTCATGATTATTGCTTTTACAGATAAGTTTATATCATTACACCAAAAAAATACAAATCTTGAATTTGTTTTCTTTATAGATATGTGTATCGACACATATCGGGTACCACTAACTACAGGTATAACAGATGGAATCATTACCTACATCTGTGAAAAAATAAGTTAAAAAAATACTAATTTATATTATCTACAAGTCCTACATAAAATGGACAAAAAAAATAAAGAATACAAAAAATAAGGGCAAATAAAATTATGAATTGAGAAAAATGACCTGTATAATATAAAGTAATAGAGAAAAATTACCAAAAGAAATAAAGAAAACAGAAATGAGGAACCCATCCACACCCTCTAACAGTGATTTAATTTTCTCTATAGAACCAGGAAGTAATTCTATATATGACCAGGCTTTTGATTAACTATCAAATTTATTGCCAATATACAGTAATATTATTCTTTATTTCCCACAATAAATCTTTTTCTTTTGACTTCATTATCTCCATTGACCAAAAAGTTGGTTTCTCATTTCACTCATGGCCAAACAGGAAATGCATAAACGGCTTCGGCAGTTTGTGTTATGTACGTTCCCTTTACTAGTATATGTTTTATATTTATATAAAACGTCTAGATATTAGTCAACGAACTTGCTTACGAGGGCGCTGGATCGATACGAGTAACGATTCATGTACACAATAAATAAATTATATAAACGCCTAAAAAGTGTACAAATCAACACCAATATAAAAAAAAGGAAAAAAATAAATGTAAGTATCTATAAATATTACGGATAACAGATATCCTTCATCAGTGTGATTATGATGTAAAATGAAATATGTCAATCTATTTTGATTTAACTATAACAATCTTGAAATTTATACAATTAAAATCGAACACAATAACGCTTGTACATTTCTAAAATTTCAAAATTGACGTAGGTTATATAAGTATTTACAACAGAGACTGCATAGATATGCTTCTTATAAAAATAGTAATGTGCGATATGAACTGGTACATTTCTAAAATTTCAAAGGTGACGACAGTTACGATATTACAACAAAGACTGGGTACAAAATTGTACTTTTCTGTATTTCTGTAAAAAATTAATTTTTTTTTGTGTTCTACAGAAATGTCCAAGTTTTTATTTCACAGCGATTAACAAAAATGTTTAATTTCACATACAACATTTTGAAAGCAAACATTTCAAACAATTATATTTCAAAGTCTATATGAGATTTTTTTTGTTGTTGAAAATTTGGTAATTTACTATATTTTGGATATGTGTTAAGTTTTACCCCGAAGCAGTATTTACATCGTCATTGCAATGCGACGGACGCTTGATTTATCTGAGGCAAAACGTAGTTCCGAAATGCGCTGCTTAGCTAAACATATAAAAGCTATTATGTACAAATCTTCAGCGCTAGAAGATATAAATTCATCGGTCTCACAAAGCATAATACATTGTAAATTACATAGTATGCTTTATTTTCCTCTACATTGAAGAGTTCTAAAGATCGTTAATTTTATATAACTCAGCATTCATGAAATTCAATTCTCATCCTCGGGAATCTGCCTTATCTTTTTGTAATATATATATGGTTCGCTTCTGGAGCTTATCAGATCCAATTTTCATGTTTTCAAACAAAAAAATCCTCCGTTGAGATTTAAAGCTTTGGAAAGAAACATATCAATGACACAGCAAATTACATTAACAGACAGGAAATGATGCTTTTTATCCTAACTATTGAATTATTGGATATTATCTTGGGAATTAGCGTATACTACTGTTCAGTTGAGATAACGCACATCAAATCAAATTTTATTTCTATATCGCATTGTTTCCTATTACTGTCCAAGCGAATCTACTGATCTTAAGGTGTAAGTGAATTATTCCGGAACTTATGATTTTCCGTATTTTATTTTCCAATTATAATTAGATAAAAATGAGGCATATTTTTCTATGAAATGAAACGAATTTGATATTTACATAGACACGGTAGATGTGTTATCTTTTATTAGCATCATGACATGTTTAAGAAATTAAACCACATAAAATAATAATCAAATATGAAGCAATTACAAGATATGAATATAAATCAAATCAGAATTTGAGATAACAATTATGTGGTTGCTGTATAAACGTATAATTTGTTGTTGAGCTTCTAGCAGTAGTTACTGAAATATCATTTTCAAACTATTTATCAATTGATGTTTTCTTTGTTGTTTTGTCATAAATCAGGACGTTGGTATTTTTGTTGGAAATGTTTCACAATTAGACATTTTATTACTGACTATACTGTATGGGTTTTGTTAATTGTTAAAGACCGCACGGTGATCAATTATTGCTTAACTGGACTTCATTTGAACTCTGTCGGACAGTTGTCTCATTGGCAACCATACAACATCTCCTTAGTGTATACCATTCAAATGGCATCAGTCTTTTTCCGCCAATTGCTATTTTCAAGATGTATCATTTGCGACAGATATTATTTTTCAAAACTATCAATTGCGCCAATTAAGGAAATTATTTTTGCGCCAATTTACCTACATATATTTATATATTTACCGTACATAATAACTTGGGGTAAATGACAAAAATATTTATGGAAAAAATGGAAAATGGGACTATTTGAAAGCAAAAGATGTATAAGACCTATCCACGTGAACAAAAAGGAATCTAAGAATAGCCAAATTCATCTATGGTCAACTTTGTCTGAGGGAATTGGAACATTAGTTTCTTAATTCAAAAAAGTTTGTAACAAAAATATATCATTAGTACCGAAGCACTAACTACTGAGTTGATGATACTTTCTGGGACAAACACAAGCAGTGGTACTTAGTATCGACCCAGTACTATAAAATAAAAATAACACTATTAATTGTGCACGTCCGAAGCGCTTTTCTGGATTTTCCTTCATCAGGAACCCTAGAACCCATGGATTTAAAAAGCCAAAGATGGAAGAGCTTAATGACCAAATCGGATCTAAAAATAGCCAAATTCATTCAAAGTCGACTTTGCCTGGGACAGTTTGAACCTTATATTCCTAATAATTTATTTTTATCAACGGAAAACATAAAAAAAAGTTTGAAATAAATGATAAAAGTACAAACGTGATACAGAAGCAATGACCAATACATGTAAACGTCGAAAAAGTCTACTGCTAGTCCCATACACGGTTAAAAAGAAGAAGTGGAATCATTAATTGTTTTACTATAAAAACAAAATGGCACAATCGTATTTTTTATTTTTGGCGCAAAATATACTACTTATTTTTAAAACTAGTGGCGGCAACGTCGCATTAGCGCAAATGAGTTATGGCGCAAAAGGACGAATTTTTTGACGCAAACGGTTTTCTCTCGTACAAATTAACACCAGAATTTTATATCGTACAACGGCAAGCGGGTTTTAACGCTTGCACCGCACGTACATGTTGTATGTCTGTAAAGTCAACACGTATATCAATGCTTAAACTAGTTCAGTATTGTATGTGTACTAGTATCATGAACAATTGTTTTGATGCAACAAGCAGTTTTAAAATGCATATCATTTAGCATTCGCTGCAGCAGAATCTCATGCACTCTGTGTATAATTTTCAAAAGCGTACACCAAAACGTTGTGGTTGGTTAAAAACGTCATACCCAATTTAAATTCAACCTATGCAGTGACGTTATTTCTATATTATGGTACGAACTATGAAATTTCCCACAGTCCTTTAGTTTCTGAAATGGTGAACTAGAATGTTCAGATTCTTATCATGCTTGAGTGTAGTTATTAAACTCATTTTAGTATTTGTGTCAATTTATGTCGTTGACTTATTGACAGTATAGGTTAGAATCAAACCGATACAAATGTAGGTAAATATATATCGGTTAATTATATATGTTAACTTAAAAACAGTATCAAACGTAGCTGACTGTTTGAGGAAATACAGTTTTGGATTGTCTTATTGAAATACTGTAATTTTAGGGCTGAATTTCAGACATCAATTACAAATGAAAAATAAAATACCGTATATTACTGTATCTGAACGTTTGAACGTTAGAAATTTGTTGTCTTTTGTTTTAAATTTGTTTCACTCGTGGATAAAGGGTATGATTATCATGCGATAGTCTTTTCAAACTCTTTAAAGTGTTGATTTGAACAAACATTAATACCTTGGATATAAAACTTAAACATTGAATTGGAAAAAATAGCTCAAAGCTATTTATTCCATGGAGGTTCATATGATATTATTGCTGCGGTTGTTAACCCATTGTTTGAACTTTTAACCGATATGTTTTATCTTCATTGTACATTTCCTTCTAATTTATAGCTCTGAATGAAAAACAAAATTCTGAAATTGAAACAAAACCTTTAAAACGGTAAGAATTCATATGTGTAAGATAAGAATTTCTACAAAAGAGGCAAAAGATACAGGGACTTTCAGACTCAAAATTTAAAAATGAAATGACTACGCCATGGCAGAAAACAATATATACCGAAGAGATAACCAACAGTATACAAAACACATCATAGAAAATTAAATTACTGAGCAACACGATCTCAACAAAAAAACGGCGGTTATACAAGCATATTTCCTAATGAGATGATCGTGCTCCAACTATTTAACATTACACGACTTAACGTTTGAGCATCCAGGTAATATTAGTTCAATTAAGAATTTGTTGCAATTGGGTTGTCTATGCACAGTGTCAAACAAGTATTACTTGAACATGCGTTTGGCGCAAATTCAAAATTTCAATCCTGGTATCTATGATGAGTTTATTGTTGTTTAAGAACATCAATAAGTGTTTCACTCAAAATAGTCTGAGAATTTCATTTATACTGTCGTATACTAGTACAATGTACATGTAGTATCTACGACACGTTTATGGTAACCATAGAATGCGAATCATCATCGGGTTATAATTTATTTTAACGATCAACGACAAGGAATGCGTTTATTTTCAAAGCATTGCCAGATGTTCTAGTCTCGTAAACATGTGATATTTGTCACTTTACGAATACCAGTCCATCGATCCATCTATGACAGAAGCACACATCTTGGAAATGATTCACACATACAGCAGGTCATGCTAACTCTTTTCACGTGCCTAGCCTCTCTCAATGTCGAATTTGTTGATCATAGGTATCTTGTATTCTGTTCTCTCTGTTTTTATTAACCTTGACCTATCCATCTACAGGTTTTTTTTATCGGTATACAATTTTTTTATCCTACCGTCTATAGATTTCAGAGAATTCAATACCCATGGCGAGGTTATTTATCGGGTTAACAATTTTATTTTACAGAAGAATGCAGTGTTCCATACCGTCGGGTGGGCAAAGGATGTTATCTTATACAAATAGATAAAGTATCCGGTGATGCTGCTTTTGTAAGTTATGTTTTATTAATGATAAGAAATGTTGGTTAGAATTCAAAATACTCAAGATGACACCAACATTTAGCAACCAAGCAAGCCAGCACCAAAAATCATGACAAGACGTTTAAATGTCGAATTAAGCTGCTAGAGGAGGAGCAATTAAACATAGCTAGGATTAAGACATTTTTGGAAAGTTCGAGTCTTACATCATATCGTAAAGGCCACAATTGAGAGCTGAAAATGTCTGTTGAACAAGGCTGCGGTATATTATGTTTCTGTATTCTGTTACCGGCTATACATGTTGTTATATAACATATGACTTTAGGAAGTTGTGCATGCAACGATATAGTTTTGTATCAACCCTTCCTGAGCACCTGAAATCACCGGCATTTTTAAGATTGTGTTCTTGTTGCTCAGTTTTTACTTTTATGTGTTGTGTTGGTTTTTTTTTTTTTTGTAGAATTTTCGCCTTTTTTATATTTTTATTGCCACGGGGTTGTCAGTTTGTGTTCGACCTACAAAAATAAAATGTATGAGTTTGAATATCCATTTTGGTATGTTTCACCTTCCTTTTTTTGTGTATTTTAACAGACATTCTTGTATATAATTAATTTCAAATTGAACCATTATTTTTAGAAGTTATCTTTATTTGCCTCGGATGGAATTCTACGCACAACAAATCTGCTGTCAGTTTTGTTTGTTCTCAGTAATTCTAAATTTCGAATGATATTACTTTTCTGGAATCAAACATACATGTATAAACCTTAACGGTCGATGAATTTCATGTTTTCATGCGAATTAAGATCTGCCTACCCTTCCAGAGAACTTAAGATCCCCCCGATTTTTGTTAGGGTTCATGTTGTAGAGTCATCAATTTTGTACGTTGGGTTTTGTAGACTGTTGTTTGTCTTCTGGCCGTTTTTCGTTTTTTTACCAATGCATTGTCAGTTGTGTAATCGACTTACGAGTTATAATATCTTCTACTTCTTTTTTTCAGGCAAAATGCTTACAACTGGGAGCTTACCTAGCGAACTTTGAAACCATCAACGAGGCAATGTTAATGCAGTTCGAACTCGTAAGAATGAACACAGGTATTCTGGTTTATATATACATTTATCGACAGTTTGTATATTTTACCTTTGATCTTACTACCTAATGTTTTCTGCATCATATACGGGACCTGAACCTCGAAAATATTAGGCAATGACGTAACGTTACGGTTGAGCAACCTCACGTGCTCTCGTCAATCCGCCTCCATTTTTCAGTGAAATGCACGCGACTTCATTCATACAACTAAACAACTATCAAAACGTTTTCTACGCGTAAAAATAGTTTTACTTACTATTTAATTTCATTTTATATCTTCAATCAAAAAAAGTATTGTTTAGACGAAGTTGCCGATACAAGGAATAATGGCATTATATTTTTTGATACTAACTTAATCAGCTCGAATATCAGCTCGCCCTTGCTGGCTGGCTTGATATTCTTGATGATTTTAAAAATTAAATAAAATTATACTTCTATATATATTGTAATGTTATGCAATTAAAAAACTTACAATTAGAAATAAATAAATAAGAATTGTTTCATGAAAATTGTTAGTTCAGAATATGCCAATAATTTCAGAACATGCCAATAAGTTCAAAATATGCTAATACGTTCATAATATACCAATTAGTTTAGATCCGGCCAATAAGTTTAATAAACATGCCAATAAGTTCAGAACATGCCCATCAGTTCAGAAAATGCTCTCCCTCTATATCTCAAACCCAGCTGATCGAAGAGACTATATGACAAAGTTTCGGGGGATTGAAAAATCTTAAGGATAGAGGTCGAACATATTTCTAACCCACAATTTGTAAAGAAGTATTCATAAAGCATCGTGTTGCTCAGTCTTTAGTTTTTCTATGTTGTGTTTTGTGCACTATTGTTTATCTGTTTGTCTTTGTCTTTTTTAACTATAGTGTTGTCAGTTTATTTTCGACTTATGACTTTGAATGTTCCTTTGGTATCTTTCGCCTCTCTTTCAGAACTCTCGCTCAAATTTGTTTTATGTTCAGAAATCGGTGCTTAATTCAAATTAGCTACAAAAAGAAGATAGTTTATCCCAAATATGCCAAAAAAAGGAAGATGAAATTCATTTCTTTTTTCATTGTGGAATTAATAGTCTTAATTAAAAAGTTTGTTTGGATTTGTTTGATAGATAAAACGATACAATGTATAGGTTTAGCTGATAAAGATAAAATAACATAACTCCTCAACCCGATATCATAATTTCAGGTACAATAAACCAACTAATTTTCGCGAGCGATTTATTTTCGCGACTTTCGCGAGTAGAAAAAAAACGCGAATATAAATTGTCGCGAATATGTAAAACTTGGATGTTTCCTTATTTAACTACAACCAGTAAATTTCAAAATCGCGAAATTAAATCGCCGCGAAATGGGCTAGTAAGGGCTAAACGCGAAAAAAAAAGTATCCGCGAAAATAAGTTGGTTTACAGTATTTAAGCTTGGTTCCGTTTGAAAACATTCAATAGATTTGAGGATAGGGACTCTTGAAATATTTACTTAAATACTAGTAGTATATATTGATGTTGCTTTTGTTTATTTTTGTCACATATAAGAGTTTCTAGCACAATCATTATGAAAATTAAGATCTCAATTTGAATTTGAACTAAAATAGATTATATATTATGCACATATTTTTTCGTTTTCTGCCATGGCGTTTTAAGTTTTTTTTCACTTTTAAGGTGTGCACTACTATATCGGCGGACGAAATATCAATAGATATAAGCAAGATGGTGATTGGAGATGGATAAAAAAGAACGGAGAGATGGTCCAGATGAAGTACTTTGCATTTGATAAAGGAGAACCAAATGGAATTAATAGCGCTCCACAGGATTGCATGTTTTTCTATGCCTCTAGAAAATACAAGTTCCATGCCGTCTGGTGCGAAAACGGAAACTTGCTTGGTGGTTATATTTGCCAAAAGTAGATTATAATTTAAACACTTTTTTATATGATAATATCATATTAAAGGAAGAAGTTTTGCTAAAATTTAGTGTTACAACTCAGATTATTAAAGTGCAGTACTAAGTTTGTTTTATTCGTTTATTTCTCATTCCTGGCACTAGTAATGAATTCTAATCTTAAACGTTCATTTTGATCTTAACATAATTTGAACAGTAATGATCAGTTTTTCGGTAAATTTTCAGACTCATGTACTACGGTCAAATTGACTGCAAGCGAATTGTCTAAACAGTGCTAAATTTAACGCAGAATTCCTTAATGATCTGTATCGTGGATGCTCGAAATAAAAAGAGATTAAGCTAAAAGCTTAAACTTAAACAAAAATCAAAACTAAAAAGGCATTAACAATGTAACCTATAGGTTGCAATTCTGTAAATATAGACACACATGAGACCATGCAATTTCCCATAGGAACTCCCTTTGCGGCTAAAACTGTGCCACTTTTACTAGGAAGTTTCGTGAAAAATTATATCCCAGAACGGAAAGTTGATTTGCTCTACTATTTTATTCAAAGGTCAAATTATAGGGCTGTGCGGCATATTTTCAACATTTATATGCCCTGAACTTCTAAGAGTTTAAACTTATACTTAAATTCTATACTACCCCTACCTCCACTTTTGGACCTCCTAAGAATTTAATTTTAGGTGCTACCTTTTTTTCTATACTGGTAACATTCTCAAGTTATGTCTCTATGAGATGAAACACAGAGATCATATCTGGGAACCAGTACGTTAACAAATTAACATATCTATGAATATTATATATCTCCCCAAAAGAGGCATGGCTTGTGAAACAGCTGTATTTACAAAGTGCAACCTATAGCTGTTATCTTCAATTGGTCTCTTGTGAAAATTTGTTTTAATAGCAAACTGGCAATCTACCTGATTACAGGAATCGCCAAAAATGCTGCACAGCAAAACAAATCAATTAGTCTACTATCATCCAAGCCGGAAAATAATTGTGCACAACAAATAGGTTAATAAACCATTAAAACGTTGTGCCGCAATCAGATAATCAGATCAGATCATTTCGAATTCAAAGGCTGTAATCGAACTTCCGATTATATCTTGTGGCATGGTTTCAGGGCATTAGAAAATGTTAGCCATAGATTGATTTAGTCGTTCTGTGTAGGCGCATTTCGTTTTTATTTGCGTAAAAGTTTATTTATTCACCTTCATTTTAGAATCGAATACTTCATTTTGCAATTTTATTGAGATCTTAAAGCTTTCACTGAAGCACATTTTGTATGGAGCGTTAAAGCGCTTCATAATGAATCTGCGCGCATTCTAAACTCTTTTCTACTTTATAGAATTACAAAAAAAAATGTATTCGTATCTTCTTTTTTTGCAATTATTTTTGTGAAATTATATTTATGTTTAAATTAGTAATGTTTCAAAAATAAATTGTAACATATGCTAATATTTTATTAGCGAATCAGTTTGCTTTGCACATTGTGCATAAAACCTTTTCTCAAAACCGGTAATTAAGCAAATGTTTCCTCTATACGAAATAACTAAATATCAATGACATAATGTATCAATGAAAAACAAACATGTTCAAAGTTGAGGAGATGGACAGATTCAACTTTTCGGATATTTACTAATGCAAACGTGTTTCTGGTATGTATATATATATATATATATATATATATATATGAGGGTCTGCATGGAGGGTGTTTTCTTTTATTTTAGGACCATATTTTCTGATTTCTTTTGCCAACTATTCTCTATTCTGTATATCTTGGTACCCAATTATTCGCTTTTCCCTTTTTTGTTGACCTTTATTCTTTTCTTTAATCTCCCCTTTGTTTTTCTGTTTTACTAATTTTTCTTTATTCTGTAAATCCCATCCAAAATCACATCAATCTGTCAATAAACCTTGCGAGCGAAACTGTCCTCGTCCATATCAAGAAAACACAATTGAATTGTTCCTTTATGTCATTTCTTTTAGAATAATAACGGATATTTTTTTAATATATGGAACACAACTCAAATTACAAAACGACAAATATTTTTTTTTCTTATTTAATTTTTATTACTTTTCCATTATAAGATGCATTGGCGACGTTGAACTGAGGTAAAATGAAATATGTGGTTCAATTACATAGTTTACACCAATTAATTTATTGGTTGTAACTTTTTTTAATCGAATTTTGATATTTTAATGGACCACAGTGTCCGAGTGGTCTTAGTAGTTTATTCACTGTATTATTAACCTGTGAACACTGAGGTTATGAGTTCGGACGTATTTGACAGTTGGTTTGGCTTTAATTTTTATTGCCTAGAATTGTCAGTTTTCTTACCGTAGTTTCGTGGATCTTATAGGTCACTCCGGCTTCTTCTGTCAATTAAAACTGAACCCCCGAATATTGTTAACATCGATAAAAAGTAGCGTTAAATACCAATAACCAATCTGAGTGTACGTGTAAACAAACGCCATTGTAAATAAATAAAATTGAACTTGAGTTAATCACCTTATAATGGAGGTAAGCTACATCGTAAAAAATGTATCAGAACAACCTTTCTGGATCACGAGCAAGAGTCAAAAGCAAATTGTTCCAAAAATACTAGCTGGAAAAGTTATTCTAAAAGTTATTTACAAAGTATATTTTAGAATAATTGTTTTGAAATTATCTAAATATTGGATCAATGCACCTTTTATCCAAACAGGGGGCGTGGTATCGCTATCCAAATAAGTAAAACCATAAGATTTATAGTTCAGTTTAACTTACCTGGCTTGAAAGCTTATTTTATTGTAAGATATGATTTTTAGATTAAGGAGCTAGTTAATGCTCCAGTGGTTCGTTTGATTCCACTGAAGAATGATTACCTGCTTGTTTTTAACCCTGTGAAGGATAACGAAAGATATTGCTAACCGGAAAGTCTTATGACACTTTGAAAATACGTGAGTGACCATTTCTCTCGAGACATATAGTTTTTTTAACAACTATTTGTTAATATGAGTAACATCAGACTTTAAACAAAAAGATAAGAAGATGTGATATGATTGTCGATGAGACAACTCTCCACAAGAGACCAAATGACACAGACATTAACAACAATAGGTTGCCGGAAGGCCTTCAACAATGAGTAAAACGCATATCATCAAAGCATGGTGGTTAAATATTACTTTTTCTGTTTCTGATGTGTATCAATTTTCACAGATGCATACAACGCCTGCGTTAAGACTGGTAAATAATCTAATAATTGTCAATCTTAGACGCAGTAATAAATGTAAAACAATTTCTTTTTATTTCTACACCTTTGTATACTTTGTCGTTGATTAAACTGTTTTTGTTTGTTTGTTTGTTTGTTTGTTTGTTTGTTTGTGTTTGTTTGTGTTTTGTTTGAATTTTTTTTGGGGGAGGGTAGTTCTAGGATTTTATTATTTGCTCTTTTGACCAGTTATTTGTCTTAAAGGCACGTGAGAAAAATGTAAAATAACAAAAATACCGAACTCCAAGGGAAATTCAAAACGGAAAGTCCTAAACACATCTAACGATTGGAAAACAACTGTCATATTCCTGACTTGATACTTGAGAAACCATTTTTCTGGAGACCTTAAAACATTAAATAAATTTTAAGTAAACTAAGACGTGAAAGCATGGTTGTTAAATCGTTACTGTTCTCTCTTTATAGACTTACCGAATTAGACTTTTTACCGGATTTGTAATAATATAAGCAACACGACGGGTGCCACATGTTGAGCAGGATCTGCTTACCCTTCCGGAGCACCTGAGATCAGCCCCAGTTTTTGGTGGGGTTCGTGTTGCATAGTCTTTGGTTTTCTATGTTGTGTCATCTGTACTATTATTTGTCTGTTTGTCTTTTTATTTTTGACCACGGCGTTGTCAGTTTGTTTTCGATCTATGAGTTTGACTGTCCCTCTGGTATCTTTCGTCCCTCTTTTATATTGTTGTACGATGAATACAATACCTGCTTTTACGGATTATTAATAATAAGTACATCGTCAATCTGTGATACGGTAATGAATATATTAACATTACTTACTTTTATTTCTTCCATTTTTTATGTTTTAAAGCTGATTGGATTGTATTTTGATTTGGGTTTTTTTTAGGGGTATTGTTTTTTTAGGGGTAGGGATATTTCTTTAATTCATGGATGTTAGACTTAAGATTGAGTTGTACTTAGACCATTTTTTAAAATTTCTGTATCATTCAATGTTGCCGGATTAATATCCTTCACCTCCTTCTGAAACAGGCGGTACTATGGTTGATGATTAAAATCGACAGACTACATTATCAATAAACCACAAAACACGAAGAGACCATTAACAGATGACAAGACACTACCCAGAAAACATAGACTTCGTTCCTTCATTATTTAATGAAAATATATGCCTTTAATTATTTTCTACTTAAGGAAATTTCTGTTCCAAGTCCGGAGTATAGCAGCTGTTTTCCATTCGTTTGACGTGTTTGAGCTTTTGATTTTACCATTTGAAAAAGGACTTCCCATTTTGAACTTTCCTTGGAGTTTGGCGTACAAATTATAAGTTGAATATCTTTTACGTGTTTTATTATTCATGGATGTGATATAGATATAAACGTTATTTTATATTTAGTTAGATGAAGTTTTTCATCTTTTAAACTAAGAGGTATACAGTGTACATTGTAAACATAATAAGAGACAGATGATACTAACGGGACAATCAAAAATCACAAGTCCAAGAAATACAAACGACACCTTGGTCAAAAACATAAACGACGAATTGACAAACAAACAACACGTTGGTCAAAAACATAAACGACGGACAGACAAACAGACAACACTTTGGTCAAAAACATAAACGACGGACAGACAAACAGACAACATCTTGGTCAAAAATATAAACGACGTACAGACAAACAGACAACACCTTGGTCAAAAACATAAACGACGGACAGACAAACAGACAACTCCTTGGTCAAAAACATTAACGACGGACAGACAAAAAGACAACACCTCGGTCAAAAACATAAACAACGGACAGACAAAAAGACAACACCTTGGTCAAAAACATAAACAACGGACAGACAAACAGACAACACCTTGGTCAAAAATATAAACGACGAACAGAAAAACAGACAACACATTGGTCAAAAACATAAACGACGGATAGACAAACAGACAACACCTTGGTCAAAAATATAAACGACGGACAGACAAATAGACAACACCTTGGTCAAAAATATAAACGACGTACAGACAAACAGACAACACCTTGGTCAAAAACATAAACGACGGACAGACAAACAGACAACTCCTTGGTCAAAAACATTAACGACGGACAGACAAAAAGACAACACCTTTGTCAAAAACATAAACAACGGACAGACAAACAGACAACACCTTGGTCAAAAACATAAACAACGGACAGACAAACAGACAACACATTGGTCAAAAATATAAACGACGGACAGACAAACAGACAACACATTGGTCAAAATCATAAACGACGGATAGACAAACAGACAACACCTTGGTCAAAAATATAAACGACGGACTGACAAACAGACAACACCTTTGTCTAAAACATAAACGACGGATAGATATACAGACAACACCTTGGCCAAAATATAAACGACGGACAGACAAACAGACAACACCTTGGTCAAAAACATAACCGACAATCAGACAAACACCAGTCTAGAAAACACTACACAGAAAACTAAAGACTGTAAAACACCAGACACAGGGATTGATCACAGGTGCTCCAGGTTGATAATTTTTTACAACAATGGTACCCATCGAGTTAATAATTGCAAGTAAAATAGGAACTATTTACCCTTTCAAAACATCTAATGTCATTACTTGACATCTGGAGCAAAGGTATTAGACTTTAAGGCTAAAAGGTTATTACTCATCGTACGTCATTTGGGATATTCAACGAAGTTAGTTTTGTTCGCAGACATGTCGACGGCTACATATTTAAGCGATTTCAAAATAGATAACGAATGGACACTAAAACATACAAAAATCTCAATATTTTATAATTCAATTTATTTTTCGCAAATATAACCTCCAAGTAAACCACCCATTGCGCACCAGACATTGTGGAATCTGTATCCTCTAGTAGCATAGAAAAACATGCAATCTTCCGCCGCATTGAGTGATCCATTAGGTTCCCTTGTATCAAATGCGTAGTAGGTCATCTTGACCGCCTGTCCGTTCTTCTTGATCCATCTCCAATCACCACCGGGCTTATATCTGTTGATGTTTCGTCCACCAACATAATAATGCACACCTTAAAAATAAACAAAACTAACAAGTGAATATCTGAAAACGAGGTTTTAACTAAGCGCTAATGTTTCAACAATAAAATACGTCCCGTATGCTAGTAAGACTGACATGTATTTCTGGTCCCTTCAAGGTATGTTATTAATTGTTATTGAAATGCATATAACTCTCATCACACCTTGAAGGGACTACATCTCACATGCCAGTCTTACTAGCATATGAGATGTATTTTAATGTTAAGTCGCAAATTAAGGATGTACTTAGGTGAGATTTAGGAATTTCTGTCAAATTTTCGGACTCCTTGGTTTTTTTCCTGCGATACAGTGGAAAATATTTTGCCCCCATTTTTCTTTTCATATTAGGCTTCAATAGCTCATAAAAGGTCATTTGCCAAAATTTAAGCAGATTCTAGATTTTTTTTCTTTCGATTTGAGACCAAAATAATACCAATGCAAATATAAGGTAAAAGTCCGAGTCAGCCTTTTCACGCCATTTTTAAAAAATTAAATATCTCGAAAAGGAGCGCAAAAACCTATCAATATTTTTAGCTGCTTTTGTTCCTTAACTGATGCTCTTGTGACTTATAGTATTAATTTTGATTTCTAGATTTTTTTATTTCACCTAAGTATATCCTTAAATACCCTTATCTTGTTATCGATCGCTCGATCAATCGAACAAGGTCAAGAGAGAGAGAGAGAGACGCATGATCACTGTCATTTATTTATTTCCTGTGTACAATCAAAATTTGTTTGGTCTATTTATCAACGTGTTATTCCTACAGTACTGCTATTACAGTAACTACTTAAACGTTATTTACATTACCTGTGTTCATTTTCAAGAGTTCATACTTCATTAACATGGCTTCATTCAAAGTTTAAAAGGTCGCCAGGTGTGTGCCTCGTCGTAAGCATTTAGCCTAAAAGTATAGCATTCTAATACTGTATATAAAATTGTATATGTCTTATCAGCATGATGACAGAACAGTTATTGGAATACAAATCATAAGCAAAACAGAAAATGTATGCAAGAAAATGGATGTCAGCAACAAATACTTACAAAATAAAACAAAAAGAAGAAGATGTGGTATAATGGCCAATGAGACAACTCTCCACCAGAGACCAAATAGCATAGAAGTTAACAACTAATACATGTCCTTACAAAACGCGTTTTTTTTTAAATTAAAGTAAATATACCAAAATATTTTGCATGAATATTTTTTTTTAAAGAGTGGATGCAAATTTTCGCAAACTTATAAGATTCTAAAAAGAGAGTGTGTACGTGATCCCAAAAATTGCAATATGAAGGTAGATTTCTATACAGAATTAACAATTTGATGCCGCTTCAGCTGTTAATCTTCGCCTTACCTGTCTTTATGTAGAAGACTAAAAAACTTACAAAAGCATCATCGGCCGATATATTATCTTTTTGAATAAGATAACATCCTTTACCAACCCGACGGTATGGATAACTGCATTCATCTATAAATAGAAAATTCCTTATTGTTTGATGCATACACCCTAGTGAATAAAGAGAGAAATTTATTTCTATTCCGTTATATTTGGAATTTCCCTATTCTATTTATATCTTTAGACTTGTGGTACAAGTTTGGCTAGTATGTAAATCAGAAGTGGTCTGTTGTTACTGTTGTTTTCTGCACGAATATTTCGAGGGCGGTAGTACGGGTGGGGTTTTATAGGCATATATAAGTCCTGATTACGTTTGATTATTATCGATGTGCTCCAGTAACTTTGATGACGAAGTTAACGTTAAGCTCTGCATAATATATTACAGTTATGTTTGTATTGATATGTATTTAGAGGACATTGTGAATGTATATAGATGGAATTGTGGTATATTTTTGTAATTTGTAAAATGTTTACAAGATATCAAATGTTGTTTCGCTGAGAAAATAAGAAAGTTACTGTGAGCAAACAAACCTAAATTAGGACTTGTCTCTTATTTAGCCATGTATTTAGTATAGAAATGTTTTAAATTCGGACGAATTCATGAGGGAGAATTTAAACAAAAGAGAAATTAACTCTACTTATCAAGTAGAAAGAAAAGTCATGTACGTCAACAGAGTATGGATATAATGCTACATTATATAAAGAAAAACGTAAAATAACAAAAATACTTAACTCCAAGGAAAATTCAAAACGGAAAGACCCTTATCAAATGACAAAATCAAAAGACAAAACTCGTCAAACAAATGGATAACAACTGTCATATTACTGACTTGGTCAAGGCATTTCCTTATGTAGTAAATGGTGGATTAAACCTGGTTATAGCTAGCTGAACATCTCACTTGTATGACATATCCATATCTATGTCCATTTGGTATATAAAGATACTAGTAGTCGATTCTCTTGCAACTCCAAAACCATAAAAATGGACGACGACCTATATTTATTTATTCACATTGCAATTTGTACATTAATTATTTCTTCATAAAAGTACATTTGTTAATTCAAAAATATTTTATCTACTGATTTCTAAAAATTTGATAATGATTATGAAATTACGAATAATTGATTTTCCCTATTCCAAGTACTATTACATTGTGTCTTATTTTAATTAAAGGATTATGAATCTATAAAGTTAATACGAATCTAGAAAATATGTAATTATTTAGTAATAAGTATGTGAGTATATATTTATATATATATATGTGTTTGTGTGTGTATATGATTTATTGCAGAAATAAACAAATAAATATTTTCACATACCAGCACGACATCGAATCAAAAGAATAACAAATAAGCAGTAAGTGAAGATTATCATCGTGAATACCACAGATACATCCAATATGAAATTAGATAATAAAATTTGTTTTTATACAACTGATATTTAATTTCATTTTAATTATGGAAACAGGTTTAAATTTTGTTATCAATCTTCTACATACGTTTGATACTTCATTACAGTTTAGGTAAAATTTATCATATTCACCTGCCGCATGTGCGCTGTTTACTTATATTCACTCAAGTTTACCTTCAATTGCATGTTAAATTTATAAAATGACATAAACACTATTATTATTACCGTTCAACTAATCAGATGCTGGTTAGATAATAGTAAAATTTGTACCATTTAAGATATAGTTTAGCCTTTCAAGAGAAAGAACACCCGGGCTTCAAATGTTTCATGAGTACACAATTACTTCCACATTCTTAGAAAATTCTATTGTTTACTCTGCCAACAGGCAAAGTTAACCTTATATAGATTTGGCTATTTTTGAAGTCCTTTTTGTTTGTATAGCTCTTCAACTGTTTAGGTTCTTATATATCCTTGGCTTTCAAATATTCGGCTTTGAGCGTTCCTGATGAATGTGAATCCAGGAAAGCGATTCGGACGCATGAAATTTATAACATATTGTTTTCGTGTTTAATGACTTTCTACTTTATAAGAGGTTCGTATTTCCTTTAAATTTGATATAATGTTCAGCGCTGTATTGTGTACTTCTTAATTTGTTAATGTCTGTGCTATCTTCACCGGTACGTATCTCGTTTATCTTTAGTCATAGAAAACTTTGTTCATTATTTAAACTTTAACATTCGGCCACGTTTTAGGATTAGAAAATTAACATGCACCGATGACTTTGGTATTCTGTGATGTCTTTGTATTATCTCAAACCTTACCTACAAAGGTAATGCCGTAAATAAAAATAAAAAAAGCAAAAATCGAACTCAGAAACCTAACATCATAGAAAAGCAAAGGTTACAGTCATGATAATTCCGAAACAATAGTTTTTTCATACAATGCATAGTGACCTCTAAAAACTGCTGATTACATTGCATGTTATGTTGTGACATTATTGAACCAATCAATAATGAAGTTTTTTTTTTTACTCATTATAAGCGGATGGTACTGTTTTGAACCAGAAGCTTTGTCTACATTAACAAGCAGCTCCATGCAAAAGCACATTTTGACACGGATTTCAGAACTATATGCTCTCTTTTATGCTCTGTCTTTCTGTTGGTAGATATACTGTGACTGTTTGGTTACGTGCGTTAAATTTACCTTTTTGTCCCCTTTTGGTTATAAAGCACATAACGTTTCTACGTATTTATACATCTAAGGGTTTCAAAATGTTTCGTCTTAAGCGTTCCTGTTGAAGTTAAACCTTAAAAAACTGTTCCAACGCACGAAATATGTGAAGTGTTATTTCATTTACGACAAATAGATATAAGAAGATGTGATATGAGTGCCAATGAGACAACTCTCCATCAAAGTCAAAATTTATAAAAGTAAACCATTATAGGTCACAGTACGGTCTTCAACACGGAGTCTTGGCTCACACTGAACAGTAAGCTATAAAGGGCCCCACAAATTACTAGTGTAAAACCATTCAAACGGGAAAACCAACGGTCTAATCTATATAAAAAACGAGAAACGAGAAACACTTATGAACCACATCAACAAACGACAACAACTGAACATCAGATTCCTGACTTAGGACAGGTGCAAACAAATGCAGCGGGTTTAAACGTTTTAATGGTACCAAACCTTCACCCTTTTTCTGAAACAATAGTATAACATCACAACATAGAAAGACACACTATAAAATATCAACTGAAATAGTTTAGAAAGGCAAGCGGGGGTGTTTGTGCTAAAATACAATTGGTCAACTGATTTGCATTTTCTGCCTTTACCAAGTGTACCTTTATCCGAACATATGTTGATGATGTCAATGTTTTTGGTTTAAGGGGTTTGTATGTTGCGCTGCATTGATATCCTTTTCATGATTTGCTTACCCTTCCGAAGCACCTTAGTTTTATGGTGGGTTTCGTAATTCTCAGTCTTAAGTTTTCTATGTAGTGTTTTGTGTACTGTTGTTTGCATGTTGGTCTTTTTCTTTTTTGCCATTGCGTTGTCTGTTTAATTTGGACGTATGAGTTTGAATGAGCTTTTGGTATCTTTCGCCTCTCTTTTTCAAGTATGGTCATACATAGTGAATAGGTAAAGGAAATATTTAAGGCTAAATCAGAAAAATAAAGAGTTTTCTATTTGTTTAACATTACGATGTATCATTTCAAATCATGGTAGTTCATAGTGAAATTGTGTATATATACCTAATGTAATAATATTATAATTATCATTGTTTAAAAGTCTACTACTAGTTGATTCCAATATATACACACATTTTTTGGCAAATAATGATGCATACGCATTTTTTTAAACAAAAGTCAATTGATTGCTGAAAAAAGAACCCAGGCAATAAATAAAGAAAGTTCATTTATAAATAATTTTTAACACTCGAGTCTATGCGTCATAAGAAATCAAGCGTTCCACTTAAAACTTTGAACTTTGCTTGTCCATTGGTGATTCAAAGCTGTACAACGAGTTTAAGAATATCATTGAAAGACCATGACTTAAATTAATCACAAAAACATATCATAATACTGTGATATGGATCCAACATATACTGTCAAGAAGTTTTGCCACTATGTGTGGCGTGGATGGCCGAAAAATAATCTGATAAAATCATACGATCTACTTTATCAACAAACGGAACGAATTGAAACAACAGCTGTCGTATTCCTTACTTGGTACAGTAATTTTTCTGAAAAAAAAATTGACGGTGAAACAAACAGAAATGACAAAGAAAACATTAGCTGTAGTGAACAATAAAACTCGTCTAATCTACATTGAAAATTAGAAACAAAGTGTAAAATCTACTCACATTGGTTATTTATCTGATAATAAACGATCAATGATATTCTTAATCTCATTGTACAAGTAGTTTTGAAGATGTTATTGTTATATGGAACTTTTTTATTTCCTTCTTTTCAAAATCAGTGGCAAATTAAAATAAAATTGATTCTTTTGTTTTCCTTCTTTTTGAAGTCAGTCTCAAATTACAAAGTAATTGATTTGTTAAAATGAAATATTTTTAAGTAAAGTTATTAAAATGCAGTACCATATATTACTGTATCTGAAAGATTGAATGTTGAACTCTTTTCTCTTTTTTTTTTGTAATTTGTTTCACTTGTTGATAAAATGTATGATTGTCATGCGATAGTTTTTTGAAAAATAATCTTATTGAGTTGACTTGAACCAAAACTTATGCCTTGGAGATAAAACCAAACTGAGATATTTCTAATATTGAATTGAGAAAAAAAGCACAAAGCTCTTTATTCCGGAGAGGGTCATATGGCATTATTGCTGCGGTTGTTAACCCACCGTTTGAGCATTTAACCGATAAAAAAAAACACATAATGAAAAACAAAATTCTGAAATTTGAATAAAACCCTTGATTTATGAGTGTGTAACCGGAGAGCATGATTCTCATTACAAAATTATATTGAATCATCTGGCACTCGAACCTGGGACATCTGTGTTACATTGCAAGTGAGCGCTCTAACAGACTAAGCTGTAGTAGTACATCTTTATGTTTTGATATAGTTTTGCATGTTATTTGATAATTAGTTGGATGAAGTTTTTCATCTTTACAATTAAGGTGTATACAGTTTATATTATATACAAAAAAAAGAGAAATATGATACCAATGGGAAAGTAAAAATCACAAGTCGAAGCAAAACAGACAAACCCATGGACAATAAGAAAAACGACAAATAGACAAACAAAAATCTAAAAAACACTTTACCGAAAAGAAAGGTACGCAGACCCTGCTTTATTAGTGGTACCAGCTGTGTTTCTCATTGCAAGTTAAATACGACGATAAGTCGCATTAGGTGATGGCATAAACGAGGAAAAGAAACTTTGACTACGGTATATAGAACTATCCTTTTGTGTGAACAAGACTGTTTACCCTTTCGAAAAGTCTGATGCCATACTGGACATCCAGAGCCTTACTATTTGACAACACGGTCAAAATGAAATGTCATTTGGGTTTTTTAACGAAATAACTTTCAATCGCAAGACATGTCGAGGACTATAAATTTGACAGATATCTAAGCAGATAACGAATGGACAGCAAAATATAAAGAATCTAGATATTTTACAATTCAATTTATTTTGTCGCAAATATAACCTCCAAGAGAACCACTCATTGCGCAACGAACATTGTGGAACCTGTATCCTCTAATACCATAGAAAAACATGCAATCTTCCGAGGCACTGAGTGATCAATTAGGTTCTCCTGTATCAAATGCGAAATACGTCATCTTGAACGTCTCTCCGTCCTTTTTGATCCATTTCCAATCACCACTGTGTTTATATCTGTTGATTGTACGCCCATCGACATAATAATGAATACCTTAAAGTAAACAAAGCTCAAAGTGAATATCTGAAAACGCTGTTTTAACTATGCGCTAATGTCTCAACATTCTCGTTTGCTTTTATATGCAGTGAGTAAGACTGGCATGCATTTCTGCTACCTTCACGATATGATGAGTGATAAATGCATTTCAATAATGATGTATTCTAATATATTTATCGAGAGAGACGCATGATCAATGTTATTAATTTATTTACAGTGTACAATCAAAGTTTGTTTTGTATTTTTTTCATTCCTACAGTAACTTTTTTTACATTATCCACATTACCTGTGTTCATTTTTAAAAGTTCATACTTCATTAACATCGCTTCGTTCAGGGTTTCAAAGTTCGCTAGGTATGTTCCTCGTCGTATGCATTTAGCTTGAAAGCATATCATTATATGATTGTATATGAATGTATATGTCTCAAACCAGAAAAGGTCAATTAGATTTAAAGATTAAATTTTGTACTCAACGAGAAATCTAAGAAAGGATATACAACTTTCAAAACAACTAACACATGTACTTTACATTTTTCAAATCATTTAACATAATTTATGTACTTTTTGTAAATATATCAACA